ATAAAAAGCAAACAAAATTCCAATTATCATCTACATGCAAGCCACATATTGATCAACGCAAATATATCTTTTATTTGAAATTGCTGCTTCACCCCAGAAATAAAAAGCAAACAAAATTCCAATTATCATCTACATGCAAGCCACATATTGATCAACGCAAATACTGCAAAAACATACTATTTCAAATGCAAGAAACTTATAATCTTTGTACACAATTTTATCCGAGCTAAGCGAAATCACAGAAGTACTCCTTGCACAGCAGTTTTATAATTTATACAGCTAATTGTATAATTTCCAGATTTTAGGAAAATAAGAACTTCTGCTACTATAGACTTATAGAGATCTTATTCGAAGATGACACCATTCAAACATATTAAAACAGATTTTTCTTTACGGGAATACACTCACAAAACAACAAACATCAATAAGAAACTCTTTATATTAATATTTCAAATGACTTACATAATTTTCAATATATATCGAAAAACTTGAAACAGGTCTATGCCTATATGATTGGCTTGCAATTCCATACGTGACTCTATTCCATTGTTTGATGCTCTAACTCTTCACATCTTCTATATAACAAGACATACTTTGTACTACTCTTCACATCTTCTCATTAACGACAAATACATGATTATCATCGCAACTACCAGTCAAGAGAAATGAATGGAAGATGGAAAGTACCTGTCAGCATCTCCCTTACTCCCAATATTATGCTTCCTCTCTCTGTTTCCTTCCCTTCTCCGGATTCTTTTCATCAAACTAACAGCATGAAGGAGAAAATCAATCAAGCATACCAGTCAAGAGAAACAAAATATAAAAACATGAATAAACCTTCTCTCACTTCAATGCAAATCTGGGATACTTGTGGGCACCGAGCCGCTGATTATCCTGCTACTCGTTGGACTGCTCAATGCAAATTACCCAGAAGGTTCAGCTTTGGTGGTCCTGCAAGCAAATATCTTGTCTGGATATAATAATAGTAGGGACAAACTTAAAAACTTTATTAGATGCCCCTGATGCACCGTAAGGCCTTCTAGTGGTAGCTTGAACAGCCCAACAGTATAGACCTGTAAATCAGGTACCAACATGAAAATATAGAGGAAGATTCCATACATTCTTGTAGGTGAAGAAAAAACCCTAGTTAGTAGTTGTTGCAAGCTTGCAAGTACATATGTATTGTAAGATTCTACATACAATATGATATATCAGTCCAGTAAAAGTGGTGACAAGTCTATACATATTGCAGCATTGTATACATAGTAAGATATGGGGTGAAGATAACATATCATTACAAAACTCAGTCCCCAAAAGTGAGGTCAGCCTTCTGCATATTTGCACGGGAAACACAATATAGTCAGACATATGGAAAATGTATTTACATGCCAAAATCATACAATTAGATGGCATATATTTAGACATTTGTTCAGACTGTCTTATTTTTTTATAAAAAGTAGTACAAATATGCTAATGCTGCTATCGTTCTTCTTATGTAAGCAAACGCCTTCTAATGGATGGCATGGAAACTTGTTTTCTAAAATGCATTCAGAAGGATAAAAGTTTCCTCTTCTTATGTAAGCAAACACCTTCTAATGGATGGCATGGGAACTTGTTTTCTAAAATGCCTTCAGAAGGATAAAAGTTTCACATGGAAACTTATTTTATAAAATGCCTCTAGAAGAATACATGAACTATACATATGAGAAAATCCATGTTGTTTAAATTGAAATTTTATTAATGACATTGAAGTTGAGATAGAAAATATTTATGTTACCCATTCGTCTAGCAAATAACAAAAAAATGACCATATATATACTTGCATCAAAATCAATTTTAGTGTCTTGCACAATTACTTCTCGAACCCAGTGCTGGTATGGATGCTTGGCTAGGAGGTATGTAAAAGTCCTAAATGAAAATAAATATACACTCCTACTTGTTTTATCTAATTCAATCATGCATATCGGTGAATAGTAAAAAACATATTGGTTCAGGAATAGGAGTTAATCTGAAGCATGTGTGTTGTTCTGAACTTATCTCTGGCTGCTCTCTCCTCCTCCTCCCGGTTGCTCTGTTAATATCCTCTTTCAGAAGCACATTCAGTAGAAGGAACAAAATTGAGTTTAAAGGAGAACCGTATTTTTAGAAGAAAAAAACAACAGAAATTTAGTACAGGTCAAATTCAGTAGCTTCACAAAAATATGCAATTGATACACATCATTTTGGGCCATGCTTAAGAACAATACCAATTACAATTTAAGATTGCTTATTGTGCCACCGAATTTACGTAAGCCAAATTGGCAATGGATGTCAGGTTGCACGTACATTAGGGAATAGGTGAAAGCATCTTACAAGGAATACTTGTACCTGTAGTGCGTTATGGAGTTGTACACGTCAACTGGAGATTAATTTGCGAAGGGCCGTACAGAGAACGAATGCCCAAGAAACAAGCACAAAGGCAGATTTTCTCAGAGATGAGTGCAACCTCCGATGCACAAGGATCGACCAAGGACGTGAATCGGCGGCCGCTCTTGCATGGGTCCACGTCCCCAGCGACGACACCTCCTGACCTACGCGAGCATTCATTTTCGGCGGCACATGCCCGACAGTAGCACCCTTGGCAGCCGAGGCTTCGCGTCGAGAGTTGGGTTGGGGCAGGTGCCGTGCGTAGGGCAGCGGAGGCGCGTGGTAGTGCAGTGCCGGCGGCTCGCGCGTAGAGGGCCACCAGCGACGGCGGTGGCGGCAGGTCCCGCGCGCCTCGCCGCGTCGCCGGCCGAAGAGCGCCCTCGCCTAGGGTCAGGCTGGCGGTGGAGCGGTCGGTGGCCCCAGCGAGATGAGGCAGTGAGTGCGGCGACGGCGGCGGTGCAGCATACTGCAGCGATCTTGGGGAGTACAGACGGCGTGGCAGTTGGGGCGAATTGTGGACGCAGAGGTGAGGCGGAGAAGAGGTAGTGCGGGCGATTGTGTTGTATGAGGACGTGGAGGTGCGGGGATTAGTTGTCGATGGGTTGATTAGTGGCTTGTTGTGTTAAACATCTGGACATTTTAGTCCCTTGGATCTGATAGATAGACGGTCGTCCTTATTTGGATCTGCCCTTCTCTTCTTTTTATAGTGGTAGTAGATTAGGGAATCGGGTGCACAGCAATGTCAAGGCTTCTGTAGCAGGGCAAAGGCCACATCCAACATGGATAGCACCCCTCTGATCTTCCTCAATCCTGTAGAGCCGCTTCAACACAAGGGAAAGAGAATTCAAATCACTTGCCATGATGATCCTTTTGAGGAACTCTGCAAACAGTTCCTCCGGGAGATCCTCCATCGAGCAATGCAGTGTGCAAGTATGGTAATCCTAAGGTTCAAGGTAGTGGCGGAGACAGGGGGACCAGCAGGGGCCCTGCCCCCCCTGTCGGTGTCAAAACCGGCGGATCTCGGGTAGGGGGTCCCGAACTGTGCGTCTAGGCCGGATGGTAACAGGAGACAAGGGACACAATGTTTTACCCAGGTTCGGGCCCTCTTGATGGAGGTAAAACCCTACGTCCCGCTTGATTAATATTGATGATATGGGTAGTACAAGAGTAGATCTACCACGAGATCAAGGAGACTAAACCCTAAAAGCTAGCCTAAGATATGATTGTTGTATGATGAAGTTGTCCTACGGACTAAAACCCTCTGGTTTATATAGACACCGGAGAGGGTTAGGGTTACACAAAGTCGGTTATAATGGTAGGAGATCTTGAATATCCGCATCGCCAAGCTTGCCTTCCATGCCAAGGAAAGTCCCATCCGGACACGGGATGGAGTCTTCAATCTTGTATCTTCATAGTCCTGCAGTTCGGCTGAAGGTATAGTCCGGCTATCCGGACACCCCCTAATCCAGGACTCCCTCAGTAGCCCCTGAACCAGGCTTCAATGACGACGAGTCCAGCACGTAGATTGTCTTCGGCATTGCAAGGCGGGTTCCTCCTCCAAATTCTTCATAAAAGTTTGTAAACACCAAGAGTAGTGTCCGACTCTGCAAAATAAGCTTCCACGTATTGCCATAGAGAGAATAATATTAACACAAATCTAATCTGCTGACGTATTCCGCAGCGTGACATCACACTACGGCCTAGCCTTTATTCGAATCGTTTTTGCTTTTCCACCTCAGCGTGTTTTGCGAGGCGGTTTCCTTGGCACGTCTTGTCAAAGCAGAGATCGTGTCCCCTTTATTTACAGAATTCTCATCAATACGGATGTGGGTAACCCAATCGTGCTCGTTAGCACATTTTCTCGATTAAAGGCGAGTCCCAAATGGTTACGGGGAGGGCTCCTGGTATTCAACCTCTTATAAAGAGACCAAGGCCTTACTCCTTTTCTCCAATCTCAAAACAAGTTCGCCTGTCGCCTCGAGTTCCAACACCCTAGACTCCAGATTCCAGGCGCTTCAGACCTTCGACAATGTCCGGTTCCGACCTTCGAGGCCGATGGATTCCCTCCTCCGTCACGGAGGAGGACATCCTAAGGTTGAGAGAGGCTAAGTTTTTGACCGCCGAAATTTCACATAGGTTGCCTGCTCAAAGGCAGGCTATTCCCAGTCCCCAGCCTGGTGAGAGCGTAGTGTTCATGTCTCACTTCCTTCAGGGTTTAGGCTTCCCGATGGATCCCTTCGTGAGGGGGCTGATGTTCTATTATGGGCTAGAATTTCATGACCTAGCTCCGGAGTCCATCCTCCACATTTCCTCATTCATCGTTGTGTGCGAAGCGTTCCTCCGTGTTACTCCTCACTTTGGATTATGGCTCAAGACTTTTGGAGTGGAGCCGAAGATGATCGAGGGACGGCACGCAGAGTGCGGAGGTGCTGTCATAAGTAAGAATGCCAATGCTCCATGGCCCGAGGGCTCCTTTCAAGAGGAGCTCGGCTTGTGGCAACGAGAGTGGTTCTATATCACCGCTCCCAGGAGCACCAAGTGGGTGGCGCCTCCTGCCTTTCGCTCGGGTCCCCCACCATGGCTAGCATCATGGGTCAACAAAGGATTAGATTGGGGGTTATCCAAAGACGTGCCCTTGTTGCAGGGCCGCATTAGGGATCTCTTAGAAAGAGACCTCAACCTGGTCAAGGTGACGCAGGTCATGCTGATTCGCCGAACATTGCCCGGCAAACGTCGCTCCCTTCGTCTGTGGGAGTTTAATCAGGAGGGACCACGAGCTCTCCAACATTTTATGGGCGCAACGCCCGTGGAGATGTATAAGATGTTCTTCGGATCACAAGCAATGTGTCCAGATTTGATCGAGGACGCAGGTTTAAGCTGCAATCGCCCGGATACTCAAGTAAGTAACCTTGTGCCCGGACTCGCTATCCGTAAAATTGTCATAAACTCGCCCCTAAAAGAGCTGTCCTTTTAAACAGGAGTGGGTAGCGAAGGCGAAGCTGATCAGGTGTCCGGCTCTCCTTCCTGAGACCAGGCCGGATCTCGTGCTAGTCAGGATGTTGAAGATCGTGCCTTTGGAGGGAAGTGAGGGGGAGGACAAGGAAACTATGGCCTCCTCGAAGGAGGCTGCTCCGAAGGGAGGAACCGACAATTCCTCTCCTAGGGGGAAGAAAAGGGCCGCCTCTGACGACCCGGATACCATGGCCTCAAAGCGGGGGAAGAAGTCCTCGTCAGAGGGTCCGGCGCCAGGGAGATCCTCGGCCGAACTACGCCCCAAAGGGATCAGCCCTCCAGCGAGCCGTAAGTAGAGAAAGATTTTCCTTTAGAGGGATGAGAGAAATCCTTACTTTTTATCTGAGAAGATTAACCGAAATTTTACCTTGCAGCTCAGACCTCAGCCCTTCTCAGCAGAGGTCGTCTTCGGGGGATCTTCTTCCGGAGATGATGGAGAGTGGAACGCCTCCCCCTGCCGTACCGCCTAGCGAGGCGGGCGACCCTGAGGTGTCGTCGCGGAGTATTTCTCCGAATCCGGCAGGGGTGGAAGGTAGCCATATGCCCCCCAAGGTTCTCCGCGTCCTGTCTTCGATGGAGGTCATAGGACGAGTTCAACACCGTCTGGTGCGCGGTCGGAGGAGCTGGTGATTCTGCTGGGGCGAGCTTCTATCTCAGAGGAGCACCGTGCATTGATGGATACGGTGATTGGAAGGATTTCGTCCGCGGAAAGCGGATTGCACGAGGCCGTCAGAAGTTTGCTGACGGGTTTTGAGGTACGTTTGATAATGTACTTCTTTGTCAGTTGCGCATAAACAAGATGCGTCCTGTGTAGATAGTAGCCCCTGAGACTCTGTGCATTGTCAAAATTGACGGCGCGCAGAGGATCATAATCCCAGGTCTAATTTTCGCCTTTGTATATAGGTGGCAAAGTGTCCGGAATCGAGCCGAACTTATGATTTTGCCGAGATAAAGCGGCAACTTGACGTGGCAGATGCCGACATCGCGCTCGTCAACAAGCGACTTGATGATGCTCAAGGTATGCAATTCCTCGGGCGGCATCTGGTAAGAGGAGCTTTTATGCCAGTATCTTACAATGTGTGTGCTTGACGCAGATGGTGCGGCCGCCGTGGAGAGTCTTCGGGCGGAACTTGCCCGAGCTAAGGAACAAGCCAGGACAAGTGATGCGGCTGCCGAGAAGGCACTTGAAGAGCTGAGAGCCGAACAGGCTGCTCACTGCCGAAGCAAGAAGGAGATGGCCGAGATGGCCGTGAAGTTAAAAAGCGCTACTGACCGTTGCAAGTCTCTTGAGAAAGAAGACCGGGCGAGACAAACGGACTTAGAGAAGGCCGTTGTTGATGCCAAGGATGCTCGCTCTGTGATGAGAGCTGTGAAGGAGGAGCTGCGTCAGGCCAGACAGATTGCGGCTGGAAAGCCCTTTATGCTGCGGAGGAAGTTTGGCGATCCGAAGTTTGCTCCGTTGGACCGGATGTGGAGTGCGAAGGACACCTATCTGGATTTGGCAGCGCGTGCTGCTGATGCGACCGAACACTTTCGAGATCAAGAGGATCACGAAGTGGAAAGGCTTTTCTGGTCGCAGTTCCACAATCCAGAGCGTCCACTGGCAATGGACGATCATCTGGCTCAATGGGCCGAACTGAATAGATTGTCCGGACTCTCCCTGAAGTACGTCTTGGGTCATCTGTGGCTGGGGAGATCGGAGCCAAAGAGTTATTTCGGCTTGGTGCAGCAATTCCTTGGCGCGATGCCACGTATCGATGCGATGAAGAGGTCAGCATGCATTGAGGGCGCACGGATGGCTCTTGCCCGTGTCAAGACATACTGGGCATGGATGGATACCACCGTTGTTGCATCCCGAGATTCGGACCAAAGCCGAGTACCCTCCGAGCACTATTTTCAGGAAGTCCTTGAAGGCACTCGTGTAATAGAGACGCAGTGCTCGAAGGATGCTATGTTCTGATAGCATATGTAATTATGAAGCAATATTTTGATGAATTGTAGTAGCCTTTTATACTTGTGCCTGCAAGTATGTGGAACACCTCCTGTGTGGCCGTTTTAAGATATATATATACAAAATCTAAAAGATGGCAGTCGTTGGCTTCAGCCCCCATGCACATAGTGCGGGGGTGCTTGCAGAAGGCGCATTTTCACACTTAATCCAACGTCTTGGTCCTACAAAGGAGGTGATAGCGCAGCGAGCTAGGCAACTGGACTATAATGCTTTAACACTTTCACTTAGCCATAGGAGCTTGACAATGGGACTATTTAGGTAGCCCCTGGTGGCGACTGCGCTCGCCCGAATTCGGGGCGCGTATGTGCCTGGCCGGGAAACGGCCCTTTGTTAATGCGGGGGAATCCTATAGATTCCGGAGAGTCATCGAGTGGTTGACCAGTCTCACGCCATATCATGACAGTCGGTTTTCGGCTTTCTCTACTGAGGTGCTCGCCTGGCCGAACCAGGGCACAATCGCAGTAGTTCTCCTGGTGCCGCCTTAGCCGATAGAGCGGAACGTAAGGTGGCCGAACACAGGAGCCGGGCAACCCAACATTTGACCAAAATCATGACTCGGAGCTGATGCATATAAGGCCAAACTTGCGACGCCGAACACTCCCTAAGGTATTCGGTCTTTATGAGAGCGGGCTAAGTAACGCTCTAAGGTATAAGCCCCTAGTGTCCAGGTACGCGCAAGAATTCTGACGTGGCCACATGCCAAGACGCCAGCCTCCTCCTTGGTCATAGAACCAGGGGATATGTATCAACAAGAGACAGTAAAAAAGGTTTACGCAGGGTCTTAATCTGGAAAGAATCCTTGGAACGGGTCCCTACTGCACGTCTGCGCCTGTGTCTCCGTTGTGCCGTATCCTGGACGGGCGCAGCACGACGTTCATCTGTAAAAAA